GCTAGACAGAGGTGACACGTGGTGAGACAACTAGACTGAGGTGACACGTGGTGAGACAGCTAGACAGAGGTGACACGTGGTGAGACAACTAGACTGAGGTGACACTTGGTGACACAACTAGACAGAGGTGACACGTGGGGGGACAACTAGACTGAGGTGACACGTGGTGACACAACTAGACTGAGGTGACATGTGGTGAGACAGCTAGACTGTGGCGACACGTGGTGAGACAGCTAGACAGAGGTGACACGTGGTGAGACAGCTAGACAGAGGTGACACGTGGTGAGACAACTAGACTGAGGTGACACTTGGTGACACAACTAGACAGAGGTGACACGTGGTGAGACAGCTAGACAGAGGTGACACGTGATGAGACAATTAGACTGAGGAGACACGTGGTGACACAACTAGACTGAGGTGACACGTAATGACACAACTAGACTGATGAGACACATGACACGTGGTGAGACAACTAGACTGAGGTGACACGTGACACGTGACGAGACAACTAGACAGAGGTGACACGTGACACGTGGTGACACAACTAGACTGAGGTGACACGTGACACATGGTGAGACAACTAGACTGAGGAGACACGTGGTGAGACAACTAGACTGAGGAGTCACGTGGTGAGACAACTAGACTGAGGAGACACGTGGTGACACATCTAGACTGAGGTGACACGTGACACGTGGTGAGACAACTAGACTGAGGAGACACGTGGTGAGACAACTAGACTGAGGAGTCACGTGGTGAGACAACTAGACTGAGGAGACACGTGGTGACACATCTAGACTGAGGTGACACGTGACACGTGGTGAGACAACTAGACTGAGGTGTCACGTGACACGTGGTGAGACAACTAGACTGAGGTGACACGTGGTGAGACAACTAGACTGAGGTGACACGTGGTGAGATAACTAGACTGAGGAGACACGTGGTGACACAACTAGACTGAGGTGACATATGACGTGGTGACACAACTAGATTAAGGTGACACGTGACACGTGGTGAGACAACTAGACAGAGGTGACACGTGACACGTGGTGACACAACTAGACTGAGGTGACACGTGACACATGGTGAGACAACTAGACTGAGGAGACACGTGGTGAGACAACTAGACT